TACGTTATTTTGCCATTAAAAGGCTAAGTCAGTTGAAGTGAACAACAATCGCCCTAAGTCAACACAGAAAGACACATCTTCCTGTCGACACAGGAAGAAATCCCTGTTCGCCTACTTCTCACCGGTCACACATTCCACTCATCAGTGCGTGCGGCAAGATCACTGATGCCACGCCTCGCCGTTCTCGCCACGATGAGCTCCAATGTGCATCACGTCTGGCATGCGTGCCGTGGTCTTGCCTTGGAGGGAATCGTTAGCTTGGCCCCAGCGCTGCAAGCCGCGCGCCCCAAGGCAATCTAGGTGACCACTCTGGTATTACCTGACTTTGGCGAATGCCTCACTCTGCTTTTGACACGAGGTTTATGTGGCTGCGTTACGCGTATGGGCTGCGGCCGAAGCACGCTTGTCAAGTGAAAAGTTGTTCTCTTGTGACTTGTGCACTTTAAACATAATCATAACCGTTTGGTGGCTGATCGTCATTTCAGACAACACGTTATGCTCGTTACAGGCTAACGTCTACGCAGTCTGAAAGCCAACTTGTCACCACGTGACCACTAATTCCCGTGCACTGACATGCGTAGAAAATAATTCAGAGGATGCATATAACGACATTGTAGAACACAATTTGAGGGATATCAAGGGAAGCGCATCCGCTATACCATGCTGCCCTGTACCGTGATGTATTTGCTACATACTTCTGCGCGCCCCACTCATTTTAGAGAACGTTCTTCTCTTTATAATTACTCCGAGAAGGACGATGACACTCGTGACTTACCAACACACTTAATTGCAGGCGCAAGCATTTATGTGTGGGGTTTATCCCGGATCATACCGGGCCATTACGTAACAGGATCCGTATCCCAGATCCTGGAGCCTGTTTTTCAGAATCCAGACAGTTGTCTGTTTCGTCATCCGTGCCTTCCATTCGGGCCAAAATTCTGTCTTATGCACGATGAGGTCATGGGATGTTTTGCGGCTGACGCGGGGAGGTGGATTTCCAAGCCGACCTGCTGGAACCGGGGTATTGAACTCCACGCTAGAACGGGAAGCGTGGACGTCATGCACCGCGCTCTGGCACGTTGCTGTCTCAATGCGGCGGTGCCGCGTACAGGTAATGGTAAATGTGATAAGGCAAACTTAACGCAGTAGCCATTGGGGTTCTACGGTCACCGTCATGTTGTGTGTTTGCGTGAGTTTTTGCCCGTATCTAACTAACAGACATATCCGCGGCACTGATTTCCGCCCCGTGACTGCATGTTCGCGTGCAGTTCCAACCAGCCAACCGACAGCTCCGTCGCAGCGGCCATAACCTAACGGTCCCGCAGGTCACGCTGGTGACATGTGGCTGCTAAGGTATCTGCTAGCGTCAAACATCAGACAAAGTTCACGCTGAGGGTGGAGGCAGCTCGCTGGTGCATTCACTTCCGTGCACTGCCTGCCGGCACCAGGGAATCCCCGGGTATCAGTCGCGGTGGTCCCGGTCCGGACCCCCTGCGTGGCGACCGTCACGTCGGGCATGGCGACCGTCACGTCGGGCATGGCGACCGTGACGGTCGCCATGCCCGACGTGACGTTGACTCGCGCCGGCGAGTGGCAGGCGCCGCAGGGAATCGCTAGCCTTTGAGGTATTCGTAAACAGCGTGTCGGCGGCTACAACGGGAGGTCGTAGCATGACCTTGACGGCACTTCGGAGACCGCGCGGCATCTTGCTCGGTGATCGCGGCAGGTTAGATCCATGATGAGCGGTAAGCGGAAGACGAAGTGAGAGTCAGACCAAGTGAAAGGGATAGGGATGATACGCACAGCCCTGGGGCAGCTCTTACGTCCTTGAAGGCTGTGGTAGATCCCGATTCATTCGGTATCTTTCTTCGGGTTAGTCGTCCGCTCGTTACGCCGCAGTACCTGTGCGAAGTTTAGGGCTCCGGCCTGGGCCATATGGCGGGCGGCAGCAGCGACCTAGTTGTGTGCTATCGCTCCGGCCCAGTATGCAGGGCATAACATTATTCGGCTATCCGTTGCGGCATGCTAAGGCCCCGTCGTTGTTTGTTTTTCTCATTACAGCCAATCATTCTTGTAACTCAGCGATCTGGACGTGTCAGTCAAAGTCGTCATAGGTCAATTATCCCTAGCTAAGTCGAAAGACATGATGACATCCGACGGCAGATGTTCTTGGTTGGCGGCATGTTCATGGTCATATATAAATAAAGGCTTCTCGGTTTGGATTTCTGGGCTTCTTTGCATTCGTGCGTGCTACTCGCATGATATGACTGATGCTTACTAATGTGCCGGCCTATCGCATACGATTGTTTCAGGTGAATTAATCCACGGGTCGACCTAGCTCGCCTCGCAATGATGTCACTCGATGTATGATGGTAGTGGTTTTAGCTTTCGAGCTTTTTCACCGTCATACGTTATGCTCCTTGACTGCAGCTTTCCGATAAGCCTCAGTGTGCGTCACTGGGGTCACGATAGGTTGGCGCGTTCTTCATTTCGCGGCACGTCACGTTCATTTTTCAAATAGCATGCGTGGTAACCTGAGCTGTGGCTGTTCACACTGAGTTGTGCGTGCAGTGCCCAATAGACCTGATTTTGTACCTTCTTCACTCAGTCAAGCCGTAGCGCCTCGTCGAATTGGAAAGAAAGCATATGCACTGATATGCACTGAATGCACCGAAATATATGCACTGAAAGATAATTGTCAAGGGGTTAAAGATTATTGTCAAGGGGTTGTCAAGGTCAAGGGCATGACCTGTGGTGTTACCTCTGACCGGCGCGTCCGTAGGCTGCACGTGCTGGGGTTTGCTTACGTTTTGAACACGCTCAGTCGGCTGGTTGGACCCGAAATAGCCTGGAAGCGGCTCCGGATCGGCTCTCCGTAGGATAATGGGAGCGGGACAAATATCCGAGTGGGGCAGCAACGTGACGGCTTGGGTTGCAACATATTTTGAGATACCACTATGCTCTTGACGTGGGGACAGTGGAGTCGAAAGCGCTTCATTCCTTGGAAGCGGTGGTCAACAACCTATTGGTCGTGATCCGAGCCTGCTAGGTCGACCTGTTTGGCTTGTTCGAGAGGATTCCAAAAGAAAACGAAATTCGTTTGCAGAGGGAAATAGGCGATGAACAGGTATCCAGTTATGTGGGCTTTGATGGGCATGGAGTGGTACAGGTTTCGTAACGATCGAGCTCCATGGCTCACAGTCGTAAGTTGTCAGCTATTCAGTGACGATGTGTCGTTTGTCTGCAATGCCAGATAGTGACCTTGCACCAGAGCAGTGAGCTCCAAAGCTCGTAGAATACTGCTGTCCACAAATTAAACATGGGCTACTTATTGGCTGTTTCTTGCATCCAATATCACCAACTAACGGCATGGCGCAACAGTTCACACTGAAGTGAATCTCTCCGAATGTGTGATTCATATTTTGTGATCACTTTGGTCGCGTTCCGGTCTGGGGCGAGTAGTTGGGTGGCGCACTAAAAAGATTGGTCACCTCCGCATACGAGTTGGATTGACTGCGGTCTAGTCTATGTTCGCGTGAAACGTCGTAAAAGGATTGCTGTAGTGGCATATGCAACAGTGTATTAGCGTGTTAGTTCAGTTCTTTAGGCTCCCGGTACGAACTTTTGCTGTCTGCACCCGGAAGTGTGTGATGAGTTCATAGTGCATGTACTGAGTTACCAACTTTCAGAAGACCAGGCGGAACTGGCTAACTGGTGTTGTGGAGCAAGCATTGGTTATGCCGACAGTACTCTACGTTTAAAGTTGGGCTTATGCCAACGAGTGCAGTGTCTCGTTGGTCGCAATCTGACCTTTCAAATGGTAAAACCTGATTTGATTCTCTGATTTTTATTTTGCATGTATTTTGCCGCGTTTGTTGCGCTTTTTATTGCGTATTTTGGCATGCTTGGCACGCTTATTTATCTGACTGGTATTTTTTTATTCTCTTATGCATCTTATTATGCTACTTGCTTCATCTGAACGTTGCACATATGGGCACAAGCCTACCAGATATAACGCATTGAAGGTCGGAAACTCGGCAGTAGAACTTTTACTTGTTTTTTGGACGTTGCACATACGATAATGCGTATAGATATGATTGCACTTAAAACTCATAACCAGGAGCTATCTACCTATCCTCCTTTTATCCCGAGCAATGGTCGGAAAGTTATGATCAACACTAGGGGTTTTTGTCGGTGTTAAGCTACCGCACTTGCGAGATGTCGTTGGCGACAAATAATTGAAGACCGCTTGTTGGGATTAAATGTTAATTTCGTGACCCATGATTTTTCTCGCTGTGAATGGTGTCAAAGAATCAGACGAAGCTGTGTGGAAAGGGAATAATGTTATGCGAGTTATTATACTCGTGTCACTCGAAAATCCAACGTGACGAGAATCACGAAGTGCATCCCCACAGAAAAACTTCAAACTTCGTGCGTGTTTAAACCCATCGTACAATTTGAAGCAGGTATGAATTGCTGTGCATGTTCTTAAGGTTGTTGTTAATTGGTGCTCTTAGAAACTGTTGTAAGGAATTACAACTTTATGCTAATGTGTAGGATACATTGAGGCGGAAAGGAATCGCAAAACGCACCGTCAAGATTCATCCTTGCATCACTGGACCGTGCAGTCAAAGCTCCTTTATGTCGATTTGAGCAAGCAGATGTATATTATTGAATGCGTTGTCTCATAGATCGGTCCTGCATTTTTGAATCGATCCGTTTGTTTCCGATTTTCCTTTTTTTATTTCTTGCACGCATGTGCGTGTGTGTGTGTGTGTGTGTCGCTAGAGATTCCCGGAAGCGTCATTGCTTAGTGAAGATTGGTTAGTTTTCTATATAGAAACCCGGGTATGTGCAGCGAACCTGATTCACGTACTGTATGTTGCCTGCAAGTGGTGCCGAGAGGAAACCTCCGAAACGGTGACCGAACTGAGTGCCGTGGTTTGGACCGAGAATTAGTAGAGCGTGATCAGCCTTCACCGGTACCTCTGTGCCCGCAGACGGATCTCAGAAGGTGAAGAAGGAACCGAAGGTGGAGAAACCGGACCTGTTAGGCACCATCAAGTTCGAGTCTCCGATTCTGAACATCGACCCGGACGTCGACCCCGAGGAGCTGCGAGACCCGTCGGAGGTCAAGGTAGGCCGGAGCGGGTCGGAAATAGGTGGTCTTGCGGGCGCCAAGCCTACGGCTGGCCCTGGCTGTACTCGTGCCTGCTGCCATCGCGTCGAACCGCCAACGCAGGCTTTTTGCTAATTATCCCGGTGAATTATGCTGTCCGAATGACCGAGTAGCTCGTTAATTCCTTCAACGTCTTCCTGCCAGCAGTGCATTTGGGACGCTTTGAACCGTTTGTTCTTGTTCGATAAACGATCAATTCTGGCGTGCAAGGAGCACGTACAGCGAGCAGATGGACACATCATCTGATGTCAAAGTCACCACAAACCAGCCCTCCTGTCGCGCCCGGTGTCATTGGCTAGTGGCCCGCTGATCCCATCCTCCCGCCCTCAGCCGTCGACGCCAACCAAGCCTAGCCTGGAGCTGCTGGCGCCGAGGAAGGGCGGCATCCGGGTGGGTGCGCAGTTCCAGGCGGAGGTGCCGGCGGCTCCGCTCGCTTCGCCCCCGGACACGAGCACCGACTCCAGCCGACTGGAGGAGGCGCGCTGGACGCCCGATCACCAGCTCACTGAGCAGCAGATCAACCAGTTCGTCATGCTGGCCAGGTGACAGTGGTGACCGACGAGAAGGGGGGGGGGGAGAGGGGGAGGGCGGAGTGCAGTACAGAGTACCGCTGACCCTCTGGCCTGGTGAGGAATGTTTGGTGTTTAAGTGCTGGCCGGTTTTAGATATATTCTATGTTGTAGTTTTGAGGCGGGGTTTTTTTAGGGAGCGGGGTGAGTGAAATATTTGAGAAAAACCATCTGACGTCACTGGCGGTGGTAGTCAGATTCCTGAATTTTCATTACCTATTGGCAGCCGTTAAATTGTGAATTGTGCAGCAGCAAAAGTGTGAGAGGACACTGTCACGAGATGTTGTTGGTATGGTGTAATCATTTGTACTAAGGACTCATAGTTTATACCGTAAAAATTGAGAGCTTTGTGGAAAGGGAGTGCACACCATCCCACGCGACTCTGCCATAACTCCGACCTGACTTGTCTGGTACGACCGTGAAGCGAACTCACCCACTCATTCCCACACTTAACCCCCCCCCCCTCCCCCCTGACCGAAGCCCCATAGCCCGACCGTGTGACCCCAAACTGACCTCACCCTCGTTCTGACCGTGTGCCTCGGCCGCCTCAGAGCCGTCGGGATGTTCGCACGCGCCTGCGATGCCGGCTCGGCCGCCAGTCAGCCGGGCATCCACGTGGCGGCGGCCAACGCGTCACGTGACGTCACACGGGTGGGTCAACAGAGCGGCTGCCCGCGGACCGGGGCGCCCGACACTGGATTGGCTGTTGACTCAGGCACTGATTGGCGTATGCACACGGCGCGGTAGCAGCTGCACTCTGTTTTATCTCGCAAGGTGTTGCTCTTGGCGTTCGGTCTGCCAGGTGTAGACGAGCGAGTTGTGTTTCGAGCGCGTGTATTTCATTCATCCAAACGCATTCAACCGGCGTTCATGGTCACCATGGTCCAGTGTTTTCCTTGCTGGGGAATCTACGTGGAAATGCGATTATTTTCAGTACGAAATCATCGTTCTACGAAATGTATTACATCAACGCTGCGGATGCCTTGAGTCCTGGCGGCACGCCATGTGGGGGCGTGTGATGCGGCGTATGGGTCCGGGATGGCATTTAGCGGCAGCGTGTCGAAAAAGCCAAGATAATTTCCCCGCACCAGGGGCAGCATTAATCCCGTCGCATGGCATCCGTGCCCAGCACCGTGCCGGTACCCCTCTTGAACGCGCTCCCAGCTGTCCTCCACCCCCTGTGACAACGGCGCCGGTGTTACAGGCGCACGCGCTGGACGTGCTCCACCGCCATGACTACCGGCTGGGCGCGGCCCTGACGTCGCTGGTGCCGGCCGGCGGGCCGCTCCTCTGCCGGGACGAGCTGGAGGACTGGTCCGTCCACGAGACGGCCATATTCGAGGAGGCCGTCACTCGACACGGCAAACAGTTCGATCTGGTCTGCCGCGACTATGTGAGTGCAGAGGCAGCGCCGGAGGGCGGAAGTGTGGTAGTCTAGGGCCCTAGATGCACGTTGCCAAAAACAAAGTTGAAAGCTTATTAACCAACTAACCATACGGGTACACTTTCCTTCTGACAGACCATGGATAAAGCTGAAAGGCCTTGTGTATTACTATCATGAGTGGCATATGGGTACATTGGTGCCTTACAAACGGTGCGCATTTGTTTTCAAATACCTTCGTTGCCATGGCTTTCCAGGGTTCAGGTACCGTGTTATTTTTTTGTCCTAACACACCCTTGGGTGGGGGAATTTGACCCCGAAGGTTTTCCAAAATGGTTTCCAAACAGTGCAGCGTAGCCGTACCGAATTTTGCATAGCTGTAGACAATGGAAAAGCGGATCATTTGGGATCAAAAAGTGAGATTTTCCTTGTAAGATCGCTGACCTACGGGAGGTTAAAGTCAGGCCATGGATTCAGCGAAGTCAGTTTTTAGGGAATCGTTCAGTCTGATGCAACAACGGAGTGTTAGACGAAGCCATACACCTCTGGCGCATTTTCCTAGGAAACACAACGATTGAATGAACAAATTGAATTCACCTAGGGTTAAGTACTAAAGGTCAGGCCAAGGTCAAAACCAACCTATTTCATGAATTTAGGGCCTGCTGTATGGGGTAGTTTCTGGTGCTCATTTCGAATCTATTGACAACAGGAACCACGTCATGCCTTTTCCATGAACTCCTCAAAGGTCGGAATAGGTAATTGACCTACAATGACCCAGGGCAACATTTTGTTTTTAGGAACACACTGCCTGCCGTTATCGTTTTCGCCTATTCAAATGCGAAACTCAAGACAATCTTGTATGATTTTGTCACAATGACCTTCCAAATGTCAAATAATGTCACTGGCCTTGATCAAATATGTGATCTTTGCTTAGAACAGGTATCCAGGCCCTGTGAGCACTTTGGAAACCAACCTGGAGTTTGACATTATCGTATGTCACTCAAAGGTCACAACCTAGGCACCTCAAACTTTAACCGAAGGGAGTCAATATGTCATACAGGTCAATATATCATGTGAATTTGGTGACCCTGCCTAGCTCTCTTAGTTGCTGAGATCTGAGGGGGTCGAATTGAACCCACCCACCCAAGCGAAGGGTATCTAACCGGCCACCCGGACGCGTGTTAATGCAGGGGGCGCAGGTGTATGTTTAGTTATATAGCGAACTGCTTCAATCATTTTCATGCCATGTGAACTGCTTGATGCGCTCCTGCCATTCTTAGTGGACTTGACTACGGTGCTTTGGTGAGGATCCTCCCCAGCCAGCACGGTGACGCAGCACGTGATCGCTGCCTCGAGCGAGCCCCCCCCCCCCCCCCCCCTCCGGCGGCATCACTCACGTCTTCCCCCGTTCCAGCTGCCGTGGAAGACCAGCGCTCAGGTGAACGAGTACTACTACATGTGGAAAACGACCGACCGCTACGTGCGCCGCCGGCGCGCCAAGCACCTGGCGCGCCGGCAGGCGGCCCAGGTGGCAGCACCGTCGCCGCGCGAGCCCGCCAGCCCGCCGGTGGCCGGCGACGCGGCACCACCGGCGAGCCCACCGCCGCCGCCCGGCCGGCCCGGCCCCGCCAGCGACGCGCTCACCTTGCTCAGCCCGATGCTGAATGCGCTCGGCACGTCGGTGAGCATCGAGCCGGTGACGCCCGGGTCGCGCCGCTCGCCCGAGCAGCGCGGCAAGGCGGCTGCTGTCGAGAAGCTGTGTGGCGGCGTGCGGCTGAGTGGCGAGTGCAGCATCACGCCGGTGCCCCTCAGCAGGTAGCCGCGCGGCGCGGCAGGTCAGCGGCCGACGCGGACGGCCGCGCTGGCCCCCGGACGGCCGTGCGCGCGGTCTGGGGGCCTGCTGGCTCGCGGTCTGGCCGTCGGTTGGGGGTTCTGTCCGCTCCCAGGCTGGCTGTCGGTCGAATGGTCTGTCCACCCCCGGTCTGATCGTCGGTCGGGTGGTCTGTCCGCTCCCGGTTTGGCCGTCGGTCGAGTGGTCTGTTTACCCCCGGTCTGGCCGTCGGTCGGGTGGTCTGTCCGTTCCCGCCTGGCCGTCGGTCGGATGGTCTGTCCGTTCCCGGTTCGGCATTCCGGTCGTCCGTCGACTAATGGTCTGAGGGGCTATTAACGAAGCCACCGGCACACGGCCCTGAGATCTGTCGGCTCAAAGCTCGGTATTTCGTCGGCTCACGATCCGATAGGCTGTACGCTAGCAGTCCGCTGTGTGGGCGTGTGCTGCTTCGGAATGTGGTTCCATGAACGTCCAGTGTTGCCAGGGCCTCCAGCCGACACATATGAAGACAGGCGAGCTCAGACATGTAATCAAGGACGCGTTCCGTCCGTTGGGGTTCATACAGTGAGTTGTGAGGGTGGCGAAACATGTGCATAATGACTGGCAGCGGACTTTGAGAGTTTGTGGCGCAGCGTCTCTTTCAATGGGGCTCTCCATACAACAAAAACTCGTAGACATGTCTTGTAGCAGTGTTTCTTACCATGGCTGATTACGACCAATATTCTTTTGCAATAAATGAGAAACTTTTGCCTGTGTTTGCTGTTATCTTTACGGGTAGAGCACTCATGATGTGGTTGCAGTCCGACTACTGGGCATTAGTTACGAATGGCCTGGTCATAGCGCTCAGGCATGGGAACGACTCAAATCGTGGTATTAAAATGCGGTGCCTGCTTTCACTGCCAGACCCAGGTAGATAAACTGTGTCTATGCGCAAACCGTTTATTTTGACATCGCGCATCCAAATACGGTTATTGAACTCAAAAATCACAGCTTATCCCAAATAACATTTTCCAGCGCGCGACGTACACGACAAACGCTGAATTATGTTACAAAATGTTCACAACAGCAGTGTCAATGTCTAGACAAACTTCACCTGACGTCGTAAATCGTCTCTTTTCATGTCGCTGTGGTCTTGCAACAGTCATTAAAACCGCAACCCTTAACCCACGCACGCTATATGATTCCATCCATTCGCATTCCGCTTAGAGTTCTGTTGTTGTTTTTTAACATTTTTGTGCGTTGAGTTACAGAAAAACATCATTCTGAACAAAGCCTGGTAGCTGCCTTTGATTTTCTCATCAGCATCTCAGGGCTAATGGTCCTTTACGGTTGATTATTTTTGTGAAATCGGAAGCAGTGAGAGCTAGAAGCACCGATGATTTGTTTTGCCTTTATGTGCCCTGGTTTGAACGGCTGTTAATTTACCCAGCCCGATCATGTAGCGCTATTAACATGAAACCAGTTGCCCGAAGCTGCTGGAGATAGTGGAGACAGACTGGCATCGTCGTCCGGTTCCGTTCCGTTCCACACGAGTATTAGTGGGCATGTTGCAGGAGAGGATGAATGCCGGTCTGATTTCACGACATCGATGCTAGCGTGTGCTGTGCACAGTCGCATCATTGTGGCTCCCGACACGGAAGAAAAGCAACCCTCCTTTTATCATGCATTTACCATATCTTCTTTCGAAACGCATGAAACCGTGTTTGGATGTTGCATACAGCTTCAGTTGGGAAAGAAACATTGCCAAACGGGTTCACAAATGATACAAGCTTGACCGCAAGCCAGTAGTGATAACCGTCTGGCCTCTGTTATTTTCCCGATTGAACCGTACTTCCAAAAAAAAAATGAGGCCTACAGTCGACTAATGGCAGATGGCACACCCAATCACCGAGTGGCCTGCCGCATGGCGCACCCCTGCGGAGCGGGGCACGGTTGCGGGGGCTGGCCACGCGTCGCAGGCGCTGGCCACGTACGGCAGGCGCCGGCCACGCACGGCAGGCGCCGGCCACGCGCCGCGGGCGCTGGTCACGCGCCGCGATCTCCGCCAGACTGAGCGCGCCAGTCTGTGGGGCCAACACCGCCACGCAACGAGCGACGAGCGACAACATCGACAACAGGAACTAAACAGGTGCACCTCACATCGAGCACGCCCCACTCCGACGACATCGTTTTGATTATGTGGTCCATGTCTCGACAATGCATACAAAATTTCCGCCAGCATGCCCGCTAAAAACCGCGGAATGTGCACACCCCATCCGCCGGCGTCAAGCCCGCTCGCGTACAAAAATTTATGGAACGCACTGGCGCCAGGATTTTGGTGACGTGCAGCCGAGCCCGCAGCGGGCGAACCGACTGCCCGGCACAGCCATCAGCCATCCTCAGGGAGGGGGTCAACCAGGTGGGATGTCACTGACCGGCCGCACCAGGGGAACGCCACCGCCAGGTCTACGGGACGCGTGGGAGGGGCGGCCCAGCGGCCGGCGCGGTGGGAAGATCTGCCAGTGTCGCCGGCGCAGGGAGCCCTCGCCGGGTATCGGAGACCGGGTAGCTTTACGGTTTTGTCGGCAGTTTCAGCCGTGTCCTTGTGTGGAGAGTGCGGAACGACGTTTCCGGCTATGGAAGTACATGTCGAGCATATCGCGAATTTCCTCGAATAAAAGAAATGTGGTGGAGCCAAGTTTAGGCGGTCGCTTTAAAGGCCGCACATGTGAGGTGGTTTTAGTTCCAACTTCTCCATTCGATTGATGTAATCCGTTGACAAAAGAAAATGACGAGATGTTGCCATCGGCATCGGCACCTTGCGCACGTCGCACATTACAATACCTGTAGCTTAATTTTCCAAGTCATCGTGGTCAAGCAAAAACAGGAGTGACTGATGTTGCGGATCGCCGCCCCCTTACAGCAGGCGCCCAAATGCGGTGCCTCCGAAGTCCACGCTGATGACACCAGAACGAAATCGGAATAACCAAGCTGAATGTTGGCAAGATCAGAAGCTGATGGGGGCCACCCGGGAGCTGGTGACTGGAGAGAGGGCGCGCACAGTCCGTGGCCACCTTCCCGTGAAATGTACAGTAGCTTGCTGGGAGGCCAAACGCTCTCTGCGGCATCTTCCGCGCTCCCTGCTTGCGTCGCCCACAGCCGCCGACACCGATTGGTGTTCCCGCTCTTTGGTGGCCCTTTCGAAGATCGATCGAGGCAAGAAGCAGCACCAAGACGTGCCGGGGACAGGGTCACTCACGGTGACAACATGATGACGCGACACTGAACTATTCGCTAGGAATGAACTTATGTGAGTACGTCTGTTTGAAGCTGGTTATAACAATTGGCAACTCTACGTTAACAACGCTAGATAAATACATTTGTGCTGCCTTTTTGCAATACAGTATACATCATGTGTATGTCAATGTGTATATGGTAGCATACAGACATGAACTCGTATCAAAAATGTTTTCTGCCCATGACCCGGCGGCCTCAGCTACCTAGCAGCGTTTACCCCCAGTCGGAGGGTCCCAAAGTCCCCTATGACTATCTGCGAACAGCCAACGACCTCCCCTCCCCCTCCCCCGTACGATGAACACACAACACAGTGACATGGCGTCCCGGGACACGCAGCAGTCTGCCGAGCCCGCCGTCCGCCCGCTTTGATTGAGACCGCGGCCAGCGCTCCTGGCGGCGGCATCTAATACCTAGTCTGCGCGTGACTGCCGCCAGATGTCGTGCGATGTGGCGGCCGCTGTCCGGCGCCGTTTTGTCTGTGCTGTGGCTTCACGCACACGTACACGGGCCGGTACAGGACGACAGCGTCGCTCATGTCCACCGAGCCGTCGTACACCTGGCCCAGCTGGAACTCGGGCCCGATGTACGCGCCGCCTTCCACGTGGTCACAGCCCACCTCTGCGGCAAACGAGGCGCCAGGGTCAGACGGGTGCCTCCGCAGCGAGCCTCTGCGCACGCGGGCGGTGTGGGGCATCGCGAGCTGCAGCACACCGGACGGCTGCGCACTTGCGGTGAGCTGCTGTCTGGTTCAATGCTTGAGTGATATTGGTGCCCACACGTGCATGAAGTAGCGAGGGGAAAACGACGCAGAACAAATATTCATTCAAAATCCATGAATACGGTCGGAGCTCATTACATCATGATGCATCGTTCGCTCACGTGGTCATAGCACGGAGAAACTGGGCAATTCGGTCAATGGTGTATATTTATTTGCGGACTGAGCATCCCCACCATGCAAGCACAAGAAAAGAGGTGTGATGCCAGAAGAGCGTAGGTGTGAAGCAATTTCAAACTATGTGCGAGAACACGTGTTACATTATTTTTCTTCGTCGACCACATCACAGAAAGAACGCGATTTGTGGGAAAGCACTGTATTGTAGAAAGATTGAATAGCATTTGGACTTGCTTCATTGCGTGGTATCACTGCAAATGCTTGATTTAAGCAAGAACAGCCTATCCAGTGAGTAGCGCATTCCATAGACCACAGAACTTGCTTGCGGTGGCGTACCCCTTTCCACCATCGTATAAGCCCGCCTCTACATCTACGGGCAGGCTACTTTAACGTTTGCTGGTCATCGTGTCCGACATGGCTGACGAAAGCAAGCGCGCGACGTACCGTAGTGTATGCTCGGCTGCTGATTGGAGTTTGGAATCCGAAACGGCACGGTGGCGACTGTGATCGGGAAGTGCATGTGAAGATCATCTCCCGACCGCTCCAGCTCGAGGTTCACCTGCGCCACAACCATAAACAACAGTTACAAGCGACACTCGCCGGGCACTTCCACACGTGATCCTTACAGTGAACGACATTCATCCGGCGTCGGCACCTGCATCGCAACGGAAGGCAGTGCAGCTCGGGCGGCCGCCAGCAGCGCCTCTGGCGTCCAACCGTCCAACCAGCGGCGCGCAATCAGCCGTCAGCCGGCCGGCGCGCGCGCGCGTCATTGTAAGGCGGATCGCGGCGCGCGCCATTGGGCCGAGCTTGCCATTTCGGAGGTGTTTCATTTCGGGCGCGCCGCCAGCTCAGTAATCAGACGGCCTATCGGTGCCCGAATGGCTAGCGTGGCACGGAGCTGAACAATTTGGCCACTGGGCGCGCCGACATAATCCGCCGAATCAGGGCTCGGGCGGCCCGCGGCCGTGAATGGCAATAAGCCCCATGCATATTTGTGGGCTTCCTGGATCCGTCCGAGAATCGACACTGGTGGGAGATGGCGAAGCCTGAAGCGGACAGGGGCGAGGTGGGTGCAAAAATTAGTTCATCTTTACTAGCGGCTCATCTCAAGCAGTCCAATAAAACTGTAGGCTTTTGTTCTTGAGTCAAGCAAATTTTCTGCCAGCTGTCACAAGGTGAGATTTATCTACAGCGCGCCCACGCACGCCCGGCAACTGAGCGCGTCTCTCGGTCCCCAGATCCCCACAGCGGTACATCATGCTGACGACCATTTAGTGCGACACATAATTCACAACCACTCCGGACTTCCCGGAGTCAAGACCATCCGGCAGCGCTCTTACCCTCGCAACAGAACAGCCCTGCAGCACCCCGTGCCCGATTCGCCTCATGAACACAACAAGTTGACGTGCAACAGATACATATTCCTGCAATTCCCGCACACGTGGGAGGCGACGCGGCTGGCGCCTGTCCGCGGACACATCACCTTGAGGACGTAGTAGATCTGCATCAGTCGGCAGACGCCCACCAAGGTCGGCGGCATGACGGGCACCACCAGGCTGCTCGCCGAGTCAAACTTGGAGCGCGTCAGCGCCGGCACCGAGTCGCCCAGGTACTCGAGCGCCGTGTTCTGGATGTCCTTGGTGACGCCCAGCACCCCGCGGTCGATGAAGTACTCCACGTACTGTGGATGGCACACGCTCTGAGGCTCGGCGGGGCGGAGCGGAGACGCGAGACGCGCTCTCCAATGGAGGCGGCGAAGGCATCATACACGCGAGGGGGTGCTGAGGGCTGGACGGGGCGGGTACTGTGAACTCGAGGCGCGTTTATTAGGAATCAGGAGGTGATGTATAGATCAGAAGCACGCGGGACGGGCACGATGTCTCATACGGGAAGGTGCTTTCGGCGCGTTGAACGTCTACTGAGACTCCGACAGAACCGCATTGTGAACAGCTAACACGGGCACGAGTTCTGGCAGGGGACGGACTGTGGATGCGGATGGCCTGTGCTATAGTGTGATTAGGGATATCATAAGGAGGGATTAATTTCCGCGTAAGGAGTGCGACATCAGACTGATAATGGCTTAGGACGGGTGAGGCATGCAATGCGTTTAGCCGCCCACTTGCTTAACAACCAGCGTGCATGAAGGCATTGAATTCCTAGCTAAACCTCGTCCATCACCAGACAGCAACACGCTGTACGAGGCAGCAGCAATGCCTTCAGCGGGGTGTGGAGCAATGGGGAGATGTGGGGCGATATGCATTTCGGTCTGCGGAGTATGGCCAATAGAGTTCCGGCTGGAAAAGATATTGAGATACCAGGCAGCTTTATGTTCTTGGGATTGTTTTGGGACCAAGTTTATTGGTAACGGGGTCAGGCTTGCTCCTTGTCCGGAGCTCACACACCATGTCTCTTGTTTTCAACTGTCATTCGAAGAGGAGGGTGGCTATTATTATTTTTGCATTTTATGCATTTTATCACAGCATTATATCATTTTATTATATTATTTCTATATATGTATATATAATCCCCATCTACATATTATGTTGTTTGTCATGTGGCAGTATTTACGGTGTTGCATACATATTACACTTCATATGATAGTATCAATCGAATTACACAGATTCACAGATACACAGGGCTCAGATTGTTGCACAACTTTGTTCGGGGCGCGAAGAAGTTCAGCATATCCACGAAGCTCGGGTGCCAAATACAGGAGTCGCCCCAGACATGTGCATACCTCTAAGCATAACGTGGAGAAGTTTTCCCCTGCTATCAAGTCCGCCACCAGTCTCTGAGGGCATCCCTACCATGCCTTCCAGATTTATGTTGTGATGAGGAAGGAATCAGAAAACTGGGAGTAGTGCAGAAAGTGGGAGCCAATACTAATTGTTAAGTCCATTCCTCCCATTCATCGTCATATGGTTGCTGTGAAATATTAAAAGCCCCGTCCCCCCCCCCACATCCTACCCCCCCCCCCAACCCAACCCTCCTCAGCCATCCATCTTTCCCACGCCTATGCCAATTTTCATTTCCGTCTAATATCCATGCGCGAATTTCGCTGACGTGCGATAGAGAACCATTCAGCCTAAGACGATGACGCGGTTCATTGGCCATAAAACTGACTGTTGGTGATGCTGATCACGATGTTGACATAGCGTTCTTAATGAAGATCAGCTGAGCACCGGTGCGAGGTATAGGTCTCCGTATGCGACACTCGCCTTGACACACGTCGCACTTCTAAGCGCTTTAACGCGAGCTATAGAGGCGTAAAATTTATGCCGTCTGCTTTTCACGGTCGCCAACGGCCATTACAGCCCGGTGTAAGTTATAAGCTGGCAATAACATTGAGCCGGATATTCATAGCCCACGCCTGCAACACGCTGGGTGACCACTCACTTTTTTCATCATCTGCCAGATATCAAGCACTGGATCGGTTACCAACCACGTAATGAAGCTATACGGTTATCGACATGTTGTGGAACATTTTTCAAGCTGGATAGGATCAATGTGGCCAACGCTACCTGCCTACGCCACAAAATATACCTACCAGCAGTGAGCAATGGGTGTGGTTTGGGCCACATTGTTAAATTTGTTCCTAAGTTTCTCACCGACCGTTTACTTGACATGTGGCATCCCGAAGACTCCCATAAAACCCGTTGAGCACTCCAGCCACCATGAGCCTTTGTTGTAAAGGTAATCTTTCAACTTTTCCGCAATGCTCATGGCTTCCTTTGGGACACTGCATTCATTACAGACTTTTCCCTGCAACCTGGTTTCAGATAATGTAACAGTGGTCTGGGCTCTTCGCCCTTCTCCGTTAACTTACAGGTTGACCTTTTCGGAGGATCAGTCTCCACGCTTCCGTGTTGCATAAGCTGGCATTCAAAAGTATGCTTGCTGGCAGCTGTCGCAAAAGTTGGATTTCTGTACTCAATGAAGGGTGATGAATGAAACTATCATATGTGTGGGCAACATAACTGGGAAGATAGGGTCAGAGAGATTGCCCTCATGTTTTGAAAATGTAGAATCTGTCACACGTGTAATAACTGCAAAGAAGAAAACTAGTTCGACAATAACACCAAAAATGATGCAGACCGCACAAATCAACAACCCAGGGGCAGAGCACTTAAATTAGTTCTTGGCAATCCGCACAGTGCTGGCGGAGTACACTCTCTGGGGGCCATGTAGCTATGAATTGTAAGCCCATAGAATAATTAAATATAAAACAAGCAAAAACATACCACATGGTATCACAGATGGAGCAGTTGTTCGGCCAATTGTCCTCGTTTAGTGTGCCAGTTACACAACGTTTCGGCCAGTTAACTCTCTCCAGCCGTCGTCAAGTGTTGTGGAGCCCTCAAAAGGACTGGATGATGCTTGGCTGTCAGCCATGTATGCGTCACACCCCGCATTGTCTCCTTGAAATGGCTGGGTTTGAACCACGAGACCAGTGCTTTGCCAACTGAGCTAAGTGGGAAGGACAATCTCTTAGTGCTAAAACTTGGTGTTATTTGTCTCCCGGATATTGAGCGATTTCTCCGCAGAATTGGGTGCCATATCGGGCTAACGTCGATCCTTGGCTTACTGGTGAAACTATTTGCCAATGTCATGTGCGCTGTCTCCTTCATGTTCCTGACTTTCTAGTGTTCATCTCCGTCGATAATGGTTAACACCATGCATGTTCCGTCACACTCGGCCTCAGAGTCTCACACGGATGGTTGCCTATTTGCGTTCTTCCAGCATGACCGACAGGGGGTGACTTGTCTCTCCCTTGTAGGTTCTGCTACAGCTCCATGGTCCCCTGTTCTGCCTCCACAGAAGCTGAAGAGTTGGTCACATCCTTGCCCGAATTTCTGCACACATCTACGGTAGTCAAATTCCAGCTGGCAAACGTCGAAACCTGTTTGATGCTTCGAAAGCAGCGTCATGCTCGTTTTACGTTTTCTCCTTTTTTAGGAACAGCCGCCTACTCTTAGAATTATTGGTCCGATACATAATTCATGCATCCACTGCCACTCCCGAGGTGCGTTCCCCCAGTCTCCACCTGAGCTGTTTCCAAGACCTGGTCGGGCGTGAGCTGCCAACAAATCAAGGTTTTCACTAGCAGGGGATTTGTCAGTTTACTGAGGGGGGATTTGTCAGTCACTAGTGGGGATTATCCCCCCCCCCCCCAGAAGATAGGCCCTGTGTTCCGGTAGTATAGGGGCTGGCACGCTGGTCTCGTCTCACCGCGAGCTCTTGCGAAGAGAACGCGAGTGATGTGACCGGGCTGGTTCAATTCCTCGGGTCCGGGCCTCATTCGGGTCCAGTTCCCCGGATCCGGGCCTCGGAGGGTCCGATTCCTCGGGTCCAGGCCTCGCACTACTCGGATCCTATGCCTACTTCCCCGTCTTGCACCAATGAGCAGGGCTGTTCTCCGCCGGGGCGATTTGCCATGACCTTGTGTGGCACGTGAAATATCCCCCATCATTATTTTTCTAACGTCTTGCTGGTCCAGAATCATCCTGCACTTCAGATAACTGGCTTGTCGGAGTGATTGTCCTCCTGATGAGCCACGCTCAGCGAGAGATCTGATCCCCACTGCCCTCGGTTAAACAAATCGTGCGAATAAAGCTCTAACAAGATGCCGTAGCGAGCTCCTGCTTGTGGCATTTGATCCAGGAAACTCCCGCTTTTGAAGCCGCGAAGAGACGCAAAGGAGCTGAGTTAAAACGGTTTAGAGCATTATGGAAGACGGCCAGATGATCAAAGCGGTCTAGGCTTTACGAAACTGCGGATTACACTAGCATGTATCGTGCCTCTGTGTGTGTGTGTTTTTTTTGTACTTTCGCTTGAGCTGATAACATGTTAAACGACAGGGAGGAACGAGGATCCAGGTTTCCAACAAACCGAGAGCGAAAAGACCAAAATCGTCAATGTAACAATACGCTGTAAATAGGATTGCCAGTTACTTCTCATTTACTATCCCCATCGCCTTTGTTTGTCACCTTTGCTTAATATGGAGGAGTGAGACAGATACCAAGGTATGACATCCAGCCAACAATAATAATAACAACATTTCATCTGTGCAGAATACCAACACACACTTTGCAAGATTGCTAAAGCAGCAAACGCTTCGGCACACTCGACCTTGATTCAGATTCGGAATGAATTCCACTCATGCAGAATAAAGCACAAGTATGGCTGTAGGCCTGGCTAACTAATATCTGTCCAGAAATCTGCAGCTCGGGCCGCCTGGGTGCCGGACTAATAAAAGCCTAGTTGGATAATTCATATCAGCCAAACGAGATGCATTTTAGCCAAGTTCTAATTTGGTAGCATCCAAACAGCCAACTTCTAATGCAGTCACGCTCAAATTTCAAATAGGTGATCAATGTCCCATACTTTTAGTCTCCGTGTTTGAACTGCGGCTAATTAACAGTATACATCACCACTGGCATGAATGACTGTAACCCTAGCGATCTTGGTAGTTATGCGAGCTGGTACATGAGCTAGCGATTAGTAGCACTCACGGCGGCTTAAAACAGTTGCCAAGCGTTGCACATAGCTGATGTTTCATGCTCTCTAACGCAAGCCCTTTTCAGAATAAGAAGCGTCATGAGAGAGGCTGAGCACCTCGCGCCATTCAAACCTCGTGCAATTTCAGACCAATGTGCACAGCAACAAAATCTCTTGTTCGAAAACATTTTCACGCAACTATGAGAAGGATTTCCACCGATCTCTACCATTGAATGTACCGGCAGTGAATCAAAGCGGACGCAAGATGCTGCAGCACTGTGCCTTTCCGCATATCCCATAAGCGGAGCGCGCGCGCGCCGTTTTCAATTCGCCGCCCGGCCGCGTCGCTGCCATCTCCCCATACGCGCTTATTGAATGTCCTCTGTCGTCTTCTCCGCAGACGGGGGCGGGGAAAGGGGGAAGGGGGGGGGGGGGCGTCGAGCAGCCGCGCGCGCGATCATCGAGTCAACGGCGCAGTTCCGCGTCGGCCGCGACGACGCCGCCAGTGGGGGAGGGAGGTCGGGCGGGACCATCTGGCGCGAGCAGCCGCCGCCGCCGGGACGGGCGCCACCGCTGCTCCGATTTATTGGACAGGGTGGACGTCCAGCTAACGCTGCCGGTGCGGGGCCGGGCTCCACTCGTCACCGGCTGCCCGGGAGGGCGTCTGAAGATGGCCGGCGAGCGGCGGCGATCAGCGCCGGCTGGAAGATAAGACAAGAAGGACGTTTTTAGAACGGGAAAGCTGACAGGCCGCCACAAACCATTTTATAGAGCTAAGGCCGTTACGGCGGCCACGTCAGCGCCGAGAGCGCGGCGTTGGTCACTCGGCCGCGACGCACTGCGCTGCGGAAGCGTGCCAGCGACGGGATCGGCACCCCGTGTCCGGCACAATGAGGTGACTGCTGGCGGTGTGGGGTCTCCCCGTCGAGCACTGAGCGCAGACGTGGCGACAGTGGGCAGCACCTGGAGCTGAGGGCGACTTCAGACGTCGGCGACTCCGTCCTGAAGTACGGGCTGCAGCATTCCTCTCATGCGCGTTGTGGAGTCCCAAATACCGCCGAGGCACCGGAGCTGCCCGGCTCGATCCGGCTCCGTTGACCATCTGGCGGCGGCCGCCATCCTGGTACCGGCCCGGAGCGGCCACTTCTGCTGCAGTTGCGGCAAATTCGTCCGCCGCGAATCAATACGGTGCAGGCGGGCGCCGCCGGTACGGCCGCGCCGCCCGGCTCGGTATATCGGCAGCACCAGAGCGGCCGGACGCCCTGGCGTCGGCTGTTGCAGCGACCCCGCCCACACCCGCCGCCGCCCGTCCGCCGAGCGGCCGCCGGCCCTCCGCCGACTGCGACGCTTCCGACTCCTCCCCCGAGCGGGGCGACCTTTAAGTGGGATGCGGGGGCTCGCGGGAGTTAGGTAGGCTGTCGAGGTATGCCGCAACGCCAGCGGGATGCCACGTCAGGGGCGTCCGATCCGCGCTGCTGAATAGTGAGCAGCTCGCTGGGTCCGGCTTTTCCATCAGCCAGGTGTCCCCGGAGGACGCCGTTGTGGGTGGCGTGTCGTCATCGTAGCCGTCGCGGTTCGCGGCGCGACCTATTGCACCATGTGGCTTACGGACGAGAACGACCGCGTCAGACAGTTGCGACCTGCTGAAGACCGCCACCTACTCTGCACGATCGGACCCAGCGTCCTCCTCTGCCAAAGTTCAGCCAGAAGACGAGACGGAAGCCCAGCCATTCGGACAACCGCGCCGACCGTCGACGGTTGATGACGTCATGCCCGGGCGGCGCTAGTGCTTGTTTGGACATCTCACAGTTGTGTGGGTCCGTGACGTAGCAGTTAAACAGCGCGAGATGAATCTACAGGAGGCTGATTTACGGTGATCATTATCGTTGAATAAACTGGCTGCGTTGCCGTAGTCAAACACTAGCTTTCAATAGTTTGTCAATTTTGAATTTGTCTTTCAATCAAGTTGTCATATTCAGAGAACAACGTACGTCAAAGATGGTACAGTGTGCATTGTAAGGCATAACACGTAGTAAGAAATTAAGATGACCTTACAATAATTATATACTTGATACTAGTTAAGTGAGTTTTGTTTTCAATGTAACTGTTGAAATAAAGCAAATATATTAACAAATACAACCTACTTAGCGAATATCACCTACTGTATCATTAAAGAAGACATCCTAATCCCCCTTTAAAACAACGTACGTCTATGGAACAGAGGCTGCACCAGTTATAGTGTCAAATAATTTATACACAATCTTGCAGAACGCAGCGACGCTGAACGCGTTCAAGCTGACTTATAGGAAAATAGATCGTTGTTAAAAATAGATCGTATTGGAGAATAGAAAGGAATATAGCTGAACAGGTGTGAAACAACATTTTGTATTCTCTTTGGCAGTCAGAAAGCTGTCGCTGCAGGGTGTTGTTTCAGCTAAATCGGTCGCATAAATTTAATGTGATAGGTGTCAGGTGAGTGACATATGGGGATGTGGAGCAAACGTAGGAGGAAAATGGGACTAACAACACCTAGCTAACTTTGAAGAACTTTTAAGGACGGAAGGTGAGGAAGATTGCTGAGTCCCAACACAGCACATACCTTCCATGGCAGAGAACACCAAAGCGGCCTGAATGCCGTCCAGACAGAGCCTGCCTAGTGTTAGCTAACTGACTGGGCATCTACTGAGTGAAGTATACCTTGCCCTCTTTATTTTGTTGATCTAGATTCCACAATCATGTTTAATGTGCAAACGAATAAATGGAAAAGACTAATCATGATATGGAGCTCATCGTCGTTCCATCCTGTTTGAATCGAGAGAGCCAGGAAACGGAGAACTCGAGAAATGAAAATGGAAATAAGATGTCACTATTATTATCCGAACTGACGATCACCAGATGAGGAACCAGGTCTGATTGGTCGGCAGTCCTTAAAGGTTAATCGAGTCCTGTAGCAGCCGGCTCACGGATGCGCTCTGGCTTTAAATAGATGCTCCGGTACCCTATCTCGCCCGAGGGCACCGCCTCGCTCCGGGGAACCCGGAAAATATTGAAGCGCCAATTATGCCGTAAAAGAAAAAGAGGGAAGGAGACCCGAAGGCCACGTGGCGTCACGCCCGGCTGTTCACCTGCACCAGTCGGATCTTCAGCCGGACCGGCTCCTCGCCCTGGTTGTCGATGTCGGCCTTCATCTTGATGCTCTCGCCGCACACATAGGCCGACCGCTCCAGCTGGGTGCGCAGCGAGACCGGACCGCGCTTGCAACAGAAGCAGCAGCTCGTCCGCTTGTCCTGGCCCACCATCGGTTTCTGGAACCAGACCAGCGCCGTCAGCGTCACGCACTGCGGCGGAGGGCGCGGCGAATGACGGAGAGCGAGGCGGACAGCGGCTGCGAGTCGCCCGGGTGCGGAAGAACATGCGGGTGGAGAGGCTAAGAGGCCGAGAGGAGACTGAGAAGATGGAGCCGATCGGACCCAACGCTCAGCGCTCGTGGGTCGACCAGGCCGGTCACTCGGCGGCGATCCGCCGGGCAGCTGCGGGAGCGCGCGAGGACGGGCCAGGTCTGTTGACGCACGCGGTCGCGCGCTCAAAAAGCGCTCCGTCGGCCTTGTGCGGCGGACACGGCGACAGGCCTGCCCAGTGTCCGGGAATTAGCTCAAGTGGTGCCGTCAGCCGCGTGCCCGCATGCCCGGTACGTCTCGCCGCACATTCCCCCATACGTAGAGCATACCGAATGTCTGTAGAATCTATTTTGGACCCCAGCGGCTGGAGACAAGTTACGTTCATGACAGCATACCGGTGAAACAATTTTAATATTGCGCAGGGCCGTGAGATGTCTGGATCCGAGCTGCGCGAATCAGATCAGAATATCAATACAGCATTCTTACGCTGGGGGCTTCTGAAGAACGCATTATTTCTTGACCAATGGGAACCTAACAACCGCTATCAACCGAACAGGATCGGAGTTTCCAGACACGCACGACAGGCGAAGACATTTTCCCCCAACCTGAAACTGCATGAGGTCCCTCGAGAGCCATGGTATGTGGTAGGTCACATAGCCATAACGCACATGACCCGCGGCAACAATACATTCAGGAGGTCCGGCTACGATCAACAATGCGCCGTCCTAGTGATAGAGGGGAGGTCCAGATAGCACAAGATCGGAGGCTTCATCGCAGCACCAGGTCTCGATCTCGAATGCGAGAAAGTCTCAATAATTTGAGACCCTTAAGTGGTGGGAAGTCAAAAGATGGCGGGAAGCCCATGTCATGACCGAGATGATACCCAGCTCAGCGCAGCTGGGATTCGCACAGGGTCTTCTGATTGCGAGTCCAGTGACATATCGACTTAGCTGACCGGAAAGGACAATCTTTTGGGGTTAGAACGCGGTGTCATTCAACTGCTGCATTCAGGTAGTGACCGGTTGCTGTTGATTTCCGGTGCACACATGCACTATATCTGTTGTTGGTTTTCTCCACTTGCCCACCTGAGAACGGTAACCTGTTATTGTTCTCACGTTACCTAGTGTACTGGATGGATGGTCGCAAGCCGTTGATGTGGTGCAGGGATGCCGTTACGTCTTCCTGATATTGTGGACCAAGAAGGCGTCGTCTACGTATCATAGCCATCCTGGTGGTTTGATTGGTGCAGTCATCGCCATATTTTCAAAATAATCCAAGTACATGTTGGCAATTATTGGTGACTAAGGTGATTTCATGACAATTCCCTCCGTTTGCTGGCAGCATTGTTCATTTAGCTGGAACGCGGTTATGGTGGCACAGAACATGAGTAGCTCCATGATGTTGTTCATTGGGATGCTTCCTTTTTCCGAGAGTATATCATTGTTCTCTAACCTGTTCCACACAACAGCTTAGGTTTCATGCCTTTGTTCCTTGGCGAACAGGCTCACCACGTCGAAGCCCAGCATTTGTGTGCCAGGTCTTGGCACATGTCTTGTACTAACGAGACGAAGTGAGCTGAGTTGTTCCCACATGGTGATGGCTCACTTAAGGGGTAATTGTCTTAATCAGGAACTGACTCAACGGATGGCAAGCTGAACCCCCCCCCCCCCCCTCCCTCCCCGGCAGCTGAGGATACGTCCAGAGGTGCGGCATTCTTGTGTTTTTTCGGTAGTCAGCCCGCAGTCATATGTGGCAGCCCGCTGTGGTGTTGATTGAGATGTCCATGTCCAACATCTCTCAGACTTCCTTCGTTCTTATTTCCTAAAAATCTCCAAACATCCAGGACATGAATGACATAAATTCTAACACCGCAAGGGTGTCCTTCCGGTAAGCTCAGCTGGTAGAACACCGGAATCGCAGTCAGAAGACTCTGGTTCGAAGCCCAGCAATTCCAAGGAACGAATCTAGCTTGCCACCCGCGCATAGCTGAAAGCTAAATATCATTCAGTCCTTTTCAGGACTCATAGACCTGATGACGGCCGCAGAACTGACCGGCTGAAATGTTTCGTACATTCTAAAAACCGCACTAAAACAACCGCCCGAGCAATAACTCCAATTTTGCTACTGATACGCCGTCTCATTCATTGCGTAAAACTATGCGCAAGATTAGACATATGAGCCTCGTCATGTCCGTTAAAAGTTCACCACCCGGCTTCACAAAGGCCTGCATGGCTGAGGCCCGTCCGCACGGCAGGAGACCCTCCTTGTGACGTGGTAAGGCAGAAGGCCCTCTTCGGACTACAAGGAGGTCCCTTTTATGACTTGGAGCAGGCCTTGCCACGGCTAGGACAAGACCCGTCCTCATGGAAAAGAGACCCGGGGATCACATAGGGATCACCTATGTAGCGCGTTGAATGGTTTTATGGAAATATGTGCGTGCCTTACTTATATGACACTTAAAGGGAGCGCTCCATATTTGTATGGGGTTTGGAACTAAAATAGCCATCTTAAAGACGTTTTGGTGCTGTTCACAATTCTGCCCTTCTTAAGACCTAAGCCTGTCTAGTTTCTGAGCTACGCGCCCGTAAAATGGGGAAAGGTATATCGGGGATAGTATTTCAAAGTCAGCTTGGCATTCGTGACGTCAAAAGAACGTCATTCAACTTCTGCCATTCCATAACCATGCGGCGATCAAAGCCAAGAAAATGTACTTGTCGATGCGCTCATATCTGGCGCTCGTGAGCGCGATTTACCGATATAACGGCCGTCAATTGCCTCTCAGTCAATCTTGAACAAGGTACGATGACGTAACCAGGCCATGACGAATCGGGGAGTATATTTGCTTAACAGAGTATTGTGCTGTCTAACGCAGTTTTTTCTACTTAAAAAGTATGCTAATAATCATAGGTGAGCTCGTTTGATCACATCTGATGCTTGCTTTAATTTCTTCCAATGGCGAACATTATCTTTAAATATTAGGATCTCACGTTCTTGATAACGTTTCCGAAGTTGATGGCTACGTATGCCAAAGAAAACCTGGCAAACTTTGCCATTTTAGGAGTGTCTGTGAAATACATTCACATTCGGCTAAAGCCACCATCGACTACGACGGACATGACCTCCAAACGTCATCAGCCGAAACAAATTTGACCTACTGCTGTCATTAGATGGAAATCTGACTTACAACTACGGCATACATATGCTTACAAAAGCACGGTTGCATCGAAACGCTTGCAATACTTACAATGCTTAAATACGACATGCAGTAGCTTAGACAAACCTCACAAATAGACACAATCAGCTTAGATAGGCCCGGCTTACAACAATTAGCTGAGAGAGATACGACTTAAAACCGTCGTCGACTCTGACAGACCTAACCTACCTACGACCATCATCACGTGAGACAACCTGTTCCACAGCCGTCATGGCTGATACAGAAATAATCTATAGCCGTCCTCGGTTGAGGTAGACACACCCACGCCGTCAGCTGAGACAGGTCTGACCTAATGATGTTATCAGCTGTGATTGGCTAGACCTCAAGCAGTCGTAAACTGATACACACCTGACTAGAGACGCAACTTTTCAGCGCACAAACCCCCATGTGATCTGACCACAAGAATCCGTAGGGCTTTGGCCGGGTTGTTAGCCGGACGTTGGGGGTTCTTGCAGGTCAACAGTTTAACAAGCAAAATCATGCAATTTTTGTTATTACTTAAGTTTTAAAACTAAGCAAAAATCAGTGTGCTGCCTAATCATGCAAACATACTATTTTGATTTTCATAGTAAGAGCACCAGTGACAGAAAAACTCGCAGACATGACATACGAGTAAAACTCAACAGCTTCAGAAAAGACATCACAAAAAATTAAAGAATATCAACCAGCCTTTCAACGCTTGGTCCGATTTTATTAAGCAGTAAGTAGGTGGGTCATTAATATAAAATCAGCTACATGCTGCACTTGGCTGCTATCACGAGGGTGATGTGCAGTTATTATTTCTTGCTCCATGCACAAACCACAACTCATAATCAAAATCAAGAAGCAACGATGAAATGAACGGGATATGTGTGCCTTTCTTTGTACGAGCCTCGCTCCCTTGTTAATACCGTCCGCAGCTTGTGATGTTTTACATGGGTAACAATTGTCGGAATGGAAAAAGTGGTGACGTGGAGTTTGGCTATGTATCCCCGAAGGGCGTACCATTTGCGATCACGATGTCTGGTGTTTTACAAATAAGTTAACCGTTACGGAGATTATCACTAGCTTTAAAGCATATCTGCATCATCAATATTTGTGTTCTGTTTGCTCTTTTATCTCTTCCAATACTTGTATCTATATACAGGTCTGTGCCAAAAAGCACAGGTCTCTATTTGTCTTGTTTCTTTTCTTTTATCACAAATGGTGCAGCGCTCCCGTAATAGGCGAAGTCGATTGAATAAAATACAATAAATACATATCATATATTAATATGAACATAAACAATGGATAACACGTCTCAAAGCTAAGTGAAGATGCTACATAGTTGAGACATACTGGATCACGTTAACTCTAAAAATGTAAAAACTGTCATGAAAGATATCCCCGTTCGTGTTGCTAGGTAAGTGTTCACAACGCTTGGCAGGCCGCAAAACAGATCGCTCTCTGCTGTGTGCATACGAGGGCGGGGCACAGCAAACAAGGCTCGGGTGGAGGTCGATCGAGGCGGTAAAAGCAAGCAGAAACAGCTGAACAAGATCTGAGGGTCCAGTTTACATTGGACGATGTTCCTCAGAAAAAGTAAATCGTGTTGCACTTTTCGTGCTGCTTAAGGTGGGATTTTGGAATAAAGTAGAAGGCTGTCATCAGAAAAAGAAGCCCTTGGCCTGGAGAATGTGTGAAAATAAGGCACTAACTAGTAAGACACTGAGAC